TAATTTGGTTGTGCACACTAAGGAAACTTTTTCAAGAAATTTGGATGGTTTTCTTTTTAACTGAAAAAGGTTTTTCTTCAAGACTTGGTATTTCTACTGAAGGATGGTTAGTTTCATGGAGGAAACTTCACATTAGACATCTTCGTGACTTATCATAATTGTATATTACCTATCAACTACTCAGTTTGACCATAAACCTATAAGTATAAATAAGGAAATCTTTATTATGTGGAAAAGCCCTTTATGTAAAGTTCATACTATTAACTAAAATAGTTTTGTATGTGTTATCCTCACACCAGGGCCATGTTAATCTTTTCTGTATCATTCTAATTTTAGTATATGTGCTGCCAAAGTTGCACAGAGAATAATTTTATACCTGTAAAATAACTGCGAAAATACTTTTAATAATTAAATTACTGAAAAATATGATTACAATCAACTCAAAAAATGTATGAAATTATTTTACATCATACAAATCTTTAAAAACCAGACATAAGAATAGTAGTTTTCTCAGTGACAATGATAATACATGTTTTCGATATGGTGGTCTACAGATTACTTTTATTTTTTGTTGTTGTAGTTTTGATTTGGTTTGCCTTAATTTTTTTTTCTTACCATGGATACCTTTCAGAGGATTTCTTGGATGAATAATTCATTTCAATTCCAAACTCCAAGCGATGATGTTTAAAGTCTTCAGTGATCACAGGACAAGAAATTCCATATTTTACAAATGATATACACCCACCAGAATGCATACAAAGATGGCAGGCATTGCATTACATCACAGTTATTAACATCCAGAGCAAGCAAGCAAAGGCAATATTGAAATCCACTATAGCAATGCATTTCTTCTTCCGGAAATTTAATTTATCTTTAAATTTCTGCTTCCAATTTACAGCTAATTAAAGTTCATGTTTATGTGGTACTTAATTTTTAAGGTCTTTTTTGTTTGGTTTGACTTTGTAACTAAATACAAATTACAAAAGCTAATGATCTTGGTCAAATTTTGTAATCACAAATCACTGAAATATTTGAGGAAAGGAATAAATTATGTTATTCCTAGAAAATTATATCTCACTGCAGATTTCAATAGTTGATATTCTGGAATCAGTCTAGGGCAAGAAAAATAACATGTTATCAAAATTAGATGATTGTGTTGCAGAACTCTCATTGTCAGTCATGCTATGTGGCTATAATTGACATGCTAAGATACTGATGCACAGAATCAGTGTCACTGAATTCAAGAATAATTGGCAATCTTATCTCAGGCTTTGTCTAATGTCTTATCTATAGCATGCATCTGTTTATGAATGATAGCTATCCAAACATTCCTCTATTCTGCACATATATGTTTTACACATATTACTAGTATGGATATTTGCACCTGTGTTTGAGGGTACACATGCACATTTGTGGGTGTTTATGTGGAAGCCAGATGGTGACATCAGGTATCTTTCCTCTATTGTTTTCCATTTTTATTTTGTGAAAGATCATGTGCCAATGAACCTGAAGCTCATCAGTTTGACTAAACTGTTTGGCCAAAGCATTTTGGGGATCTGCCTGTCTCCATTCACTATCCCAGTTCTATGGTAACAAGCAAGTGGCATTGTAGAGTTCTTACATATGATCTGGCTTCTAAACTTGAGTCCTTACATTTGCTCCATAGGCACTTAATCCACTGAAACATCTCACCTGTCCCTCACTGTTTTATACACTTTATTTTATCTGGAAAAGTTTAGGGTGTGAGAGTGTCTCAATTCAAATTACAGAGTTTCATGGAACATTAGGGGTGAAGGAGTAGTGCAAACGAAGTTTCAGGACAGCCAGGGCTATACTACATATAACATATCTCAAAAAATGTATAATAAAAAATAAAAAGACAAGGAATGGTATATAGAAGACCCTGAAAATGGTACCTTTATTTTTGTTCACCTCTTTATTGTTAATATTAATTGCTTTCACTGTATTATTTGAAGAAGAGAGCTATATTAATCAAGACTGTGCTTATCAAATGCATCTTTTTACGTAAAAATTAACAAAGCTGATTCTAAAATAACTGTTTATTCCTACAATTTTCTATGATCATACCAAAATGACAATATAAACTGGTTAATGATGTTAATAGAAGAGAGTTTACAGAAAATTTCCCTCTTCAATATCAAGTTCTACATTTCTACTAAAGTATGTAGAAAAATCCTTCCATAATCCAAATGGAAATTGATGACAAAAAGAGCAAAATATTTCTCAGATATAAGAGATTCTATTCAATAGGTTGATGATATATAGCCAATGTTCCAAATTTTTTCAAACACCAGAATCAGAATAAAGCTAAATAAACTGTATACTTTCACTTTTAAAAAGTAAAATTTCTGCTAGAACTCCTTTTTTCTCCACATGCTTATTTTTCTAAATGGTTGACTAATCAGCTAAGTGCAAATATCACCCTAAGCCCGCTTTTTGAGTAATATTACTCACTTTATGTAATATAAATTGCAATGTTTCTGCCTTCTTCTGGTAGAAATATTTTAATCCATTTTTGCCTGAATTTTCTCAAGCAACAATGATTTTTTAAAAAAAAAAATCACAGCCTGACACATTTGCCCCTTCCTAACTTTATTTGGTCTTTCTTAATACTGACTGTATGTGAATGTTTACATGAGCTCATTTTTCTGTGCTTACTTATCTTGTTATCTTTCTTCAGTACCAATGAATATAAAACACTTCTCTTGACATTGGTTCTAAATTAAAGAGTATACAAAAAGTGCAATAAGCATTGCAAAGGTAGAACAAAATGTAACTATTCAGATAAGTTTAATAGTCTAAGTTAGATTGATGCAATTATCCAAGTCATATGAAGAAGTATCCATTAAGGAAAAAATAACTGTGACTACTATCATAAAATACACAGTTGATTTATTTTTTAAGTTGTGAAAAGAATTACAATAATCATTTGATACTAAGACAGACCATTCTGTTAGTAAAATATTATTGACAATCAATAATTCGTTTTCAATGGCACTTCTTATTTTTTGCCTAATTCACTAAGGCATTTGTCTTATGATTAGAATATGTATCACTTAGATGTGTTATGAAAAATATCATTATACAAAAGCATTTTAAATTTTATTCATTTTAGAAATTATCAAATAATAAAACTAAAATATAAGAATATCTACAAAATATATCACTATTTTATTTGTGTCATTGTATAATTATATACTCAATTAAAATTTCTGTATGCAAAAATTTATATGCTCTTAAAAATAGTTGCTTTACTAACTTCTTGGGCCAAGGCATTAAAAGTTATGAATTGCAAATGCCGTTCACAAATAGTATACATTTTTCTAAGTAAGTGAGAAATTTAGCTCAGGAAATATTGTCTGTAGAAAAATAAATAGTACTAATGTGCTACCAATAATAGATATTCTTATGAAGAAATAATACTAGTAAAAAGAATAATAGCGATAATAACCAGAAAACTGGAGTTCCCACTTGAATGGTTAAATATAAGCAAAAGCACACTTTGAATATATTAGCCATCTAATACATTTGTCATTGATGTGAGGAATCATGGAACTCATCCACACTGTAAAAACCACTCTAACTTCATTCAAAGCATAACAGGAATCCTTTCTTATATTTGTAGCATCATGCAATGGTGGATCTATTGCAATAAAAATAGACCTACTGTGGAATTAATACCTTACCTTCAGGGTATTATTAAGAGAAAAAATATTAATATCATTCTACTTTTTAATTGCATATATCTCCAATGATCTTTCGTATTCAAACTGTTCCTCAAATTATGATCAATTATTTGCACTGTTTTCTTGAATCTGGTAGGTTTCTTTTATTATTTGTAACTTTCAATGAAAAGAATATATTTTTGATTTTGTAACCATTATATTAAGCCTGAATAATTTAAAAATGTTTATTAATTGCAAATGAGCTAACTAACTTACTATGTTACCCAGTTGAAACAATAAAATCAACAGTATCATGACTTTTAGAGAAAAAAAATTGTAGATAAACTCCACCACTTAACTTTATTAAGGATATAACTTACTTAAACCATTTAATTTACTCATGAATTTCTAGATAAATTTATACTTATTTCTCCCTGGAATACTAATTTAAAAAGCAGTGTATAAATTCTTGTTTTCAGAAATATACTGGACTTTAAATTATTATGCAGAAATTTCTTGGTTCTTAATATGTTCTTATTTCCCTTTGTGCCCACTAGGCAAAGCAAACATATTCAATTTTCCAAAAGTCATTATCTTCTCAGAATTTTTCCTGAAGGATCTTGAAATATACAAAAATTTAACTGGTAATCTAAATTTAAGATGCTTGCCTATCTCTTTCTCTGGCTGGAAGACGAGAATGAACATGCTTCCACTTTCTTAATCTGTTTCAAAGCTTTACCATGTGAATGAAAGTTTGATGTGTCAACATAATCTTCAATTCCTATTATGAATATGACACTTTTCATTGTTGAGAGTTCGTGGCATGATGTCAAAGGGAACAGGAAGTGGATATGTTAGTATCATTGAAATACCTTGGGCATCTACATATTTGCCCACATGAAGCTAGGATTCACAAAACCATTTGGATTGAGAGCTGCTTATTACATTTGGAAAAGTTTTTCTATGGGGCAAGAAGTCCAGGATTTTCTGATTCTCATGAATAAGATGGTAAAGAAGGTAGTGCTGTAATCTTTATTATGCAATTTTTGTAGTATGCACTCTAGCAAGAAGCATTAGACTGCCACCTACAGACAAAATTACCCTTATTATAATCATCAGTCTGTACCAAAACTTCCTAATTTAGCATTCATTTTTGTCTACCAAATTTAAACAAATTCACATTACTATTTGAATATTGCGTGTAGTATGATTGTTTTGATTTCCTAGAAATCAATGGTCTTTATAATTCCATGTCAAGTGAAAAGAATGAGAATAACAATTTAGAAAGATTACTTAGGAACTTGGATTACCTACCGGTCTGGCATGAACAGACACAGGAGTCTTGAAGGTTGTCACTGTATAGCTGCACTCAGAAACACTGTAGGGATCAGAACTGCTGGAAGAGCACTTGGAGATGGAATCACAGCCTACAAAAGTATTGTCAAGAGGCAGTTCCTGAATGATGTGGTGCTTTGAGTTCAGGGGTGTTTCAGGCTGGATCTGGAATGCAGGCTGAGGAGAGGCAGATTTGTAGTGTCTAGCCAAATCAGGGCTGTCAGGCTTGAATGTAGTAGGTGTAGTGCCCCAGTTGTATTTGCCCATGGTTTGCTCTTCCAGCTCAATGGGAAGGTCTAGTGTGACACTGTTTCTATCATTGTCAGCATCATCTGGTTTTGCTTCTTCAATAGTAACAAAATTAAGCAGCAGGTTCTTGGGGGCATTCTTCTTCTTTTTCTTCTTCTTCTTCTTCATCATAATCATTTGCCTGTTTTCTGGGTTTGGAGTAACCCACTCAGAATTTTGTTTGTTTTTCTGAGAAGCCTTAAGGTGTGGTGATTGGCGACATCTTACTACAGCAGTGATGAAAATCACTAGGACAACAGTTATTGTGCCAGCGACAATGGCAACCACGATCTTGACATAGTCAGTTGTTGGCGAGGATGAATTAGTTGTTTCAGTATTTTGAGTTGCAGGTGAGTCGATGCTTTTGCGCACCAGTTCATAAATCAGTGTAGCATTGGGCACTGACTCGTTCACAAACAGATTGACATTTACAACATTGAAGAGAGAATCAGGTTGTCCTAAATCATTAGCTTTGACTATCACTCTGTGTAAACCAAGATCTGAAGCACATTTCTCTTTCAGTGTGATGTTGCCTGATATTTGTTCAATCGCAAACAGTCCTTTTGTGTTTCCTCCAACAATACTGTAACGAAGCTCAGCATTCATGCCAATATCATCATCAACTGCAACAACCTTGAAGATGACTGTGCCTGGTGTGGTGGATGGTAAAACCCATTCAAAGGAGTAATTGGAAGGAGGGTCAATAAAAATTGGTTTGTTATCATTAACATCAACTACATTTATGGTTACTTTAGCAGTTGTAGAACGTGATACCCTACCACCGTCCTCAGCCTTTACATAGAAAGTGTAGGATTCTTGTTTTTCTCTGTCAAATGAAATATTTGGCCGGATGACACCAGTCTGTGGATCAATAGTGAACTGATTATTCACATCTAAGATGGAGAGAGTAACTGCAGAATTCTCTCCATAATCAGGATCAGTCACGGTGATTAGCCCTACTGTGCCATGCTTTGGAAGGTTCTCAGGGACATAGAAGTTGTACTCATTGTGAGTGAAAATTGGGCTGTTATCATTCTGATCAAGAACAGTCACAAAAACAGTGGCATTGGACATTAAGGGTGGAATTCCGTTGTCCTGTGCCAAGACGGTAAAGTAATATTTTTCCTGTTTTTCTCTATCTAGTTTCTTCACTGCAGTCAGGATGCCTGTACGGCTATCCAGGTCAAATTCAGGTGGTGCATCAAAACCTAACAGGTAGTTAATTTCAGCATTTGTTCCACTGTCTGCATCTGTTGCACTGATTTTTGTCAACTGTGCACCAGGAGAGTTATTCTCCGGAACAGAAAGGCTTATGAAAGACTGGGTGAAAACTGGAGCATTGTCATTTTCATCTTTTACTTTGATCAGGAGCATGGATGACTGATTTAAAGGAGGTTTGCCAGCATCAGCGGCAAGTAATTTGATGGCATATTCTCTTGTAGACTCAAAGTCAAGAAATGCAGCAGTTTCCAAGAGGAATTGATTACTGAATACTGGACGTAATCTGAAAGGAACTTCATGATCTGTGAAGCAAGTCACCCTACCATTATGTTCAGAATCCCTATCCATCACAGTTATGAGAGCAATTTTTGTGTTAAGCGGAGCATTCTCTGAAAGAAGCACAGTGCCATTGGTTGGATTGACGATGTATCTTATGTCAATTGATGGGACATTATCATTGATATCTGTAACATTTACCAGAACCATAGCGCTCGCTGGTGTTGATCCACCATCAGTTGCCAAAACCAGTAACTTGTGGCTTGGTGATTCTTCCCTATCCAGTGGTTCTTTGACAGTGATAAGTCCAGTGGTGGTATTAAGGTGGAACAGTCTCTTAGCAATGTTGGAGACTAAATTGCTGAAATAAAAATGAATTCTGGCATTTTCACCAATGTCAGCATCCGTGGCGTGGAGCTGTGTCACTGAAGAACCTATTGGAGCATTTTCTGGTATACTGACTTCAATTTCCTTTTCTACAAAGACTGGGTGGTTGTCATTTGTATCAGCAACACTTACTTGCAAAATAGCTGTACTGGATCTTTGAGGAAAGCCACCATCTTCAACTTTTACTTTCATCACATAGGTATCCTTCTCTTCTCTATCTAACTCCTTTTGAACAATCAGCTGTGGCATCTTGTCTCCTTCTGGTGTTTCAATGATATCAAGACCGAAAGCATTTTGACCCTGGAAAACATGGAAGGATACATAATTTAAATTATATTAATATACAATATCACGATTGTAAGTTATAATTAAATGTATAATGAATCATGTAATAAGAATGATTTACAATTTCTATGATTCATAGAACAGTAGAATATTCTTGGAAACAAATACCAGAAAATTATAGTTCTGAGTTTCAGGTTGGTCTACAGTTAATATTATGAACACAAACAATGTAAAAATTTCTTTAACATATTCAATACAAGGCATCTTTTGATAATAAATGTCATTTATTACATAAATTTTTATATTTCCAAAAGAAATGTACAGAATTTTCACAAGGACTGTCCATGAAGTTTCACATGCTAGTGGAGCTATTATTGACTGTCTTGTTTTTAAACCACACATTTAAATAAGTCATTTAATGCAACATTTTAAAATAAATGAAATGAAAATAAGCATCCCATTTACATTTTATTGACGTCTCTTTTCATGGGAAAAAATGTTTTTCATGTTTTATTTATATATAGTGTGAAATTAGCAAGATGAAATTTATTATTCATCAGGCACATTTTAATAAAAATGTTTTATAAGAATGTGATATATTAATAATTATAATGGTTATTATAATTAATAAAGATAAAATTAGGGACACATGGTAATTAGTAAATAACTTTTTGTGATGATATTCAAATAGAATTTTAGAAAGGCTTAAATTTTCAACACTTCAAAATTGCAAATCATGAAATTTTTCTATTCTCAATTCTATTCTATTAATTGTAAGTATATCAATAGTGATTCCCTAAAATGGTCATGGAATTTTTCTGAGTATGGGACATATGGTGGTAAGTAAAAATAATTAACATACAGTAATAACTAACGTATGAAGTGAATAATAATCAATGACCGCCAAAGTATGTAAAAATGGTATTGAGTCCAGGCAGTGGTCATGCATAACTTCAATCCCAGCACTCTGGAGGCAGAGGCAGGCAGATCTCTGTGAGTTCGAGGTCAGCCTGGTCTACAGAGCAAGTTCCAGGACGGGCTCCAAAGCTACACAGAGAAACCCTGCCTCAAACAAACAAACAAAAAAGATGGTATTGATATCAGCAAAATAATACACTTACTGAGTTTTTAATAAATATAATGCTCTTTCAAAGAAATAAATATACCAATATTAATGCATTTCAAATGCAACTTTTCAACTCAGTACTTAAGTATACACTGTTCAAACTATTAAAATTTTAATTACTAAGCTTGTATATTTATGCATTTTCTGCATATATATATTTAGATTTTAGTCTATCTAAAATTTGAGTTGTGTTGCTTTTTTATAAAGATTAAATGAAGTTAAATTTCCAACAACCTACTTACTGTCATTTATTTATTTTAAATGAAATTATAAAAATTATAAGACAAGTTTTTGTAATGTTCAGGGTGATAAAATAAACATACTAGTTGATGGATATCATGGCTATTGTTCTCCTGTTTTTTCCTTAATGAATGAATTTTCAATGTTAATGGAGCATTTAAATTTAAATTTTAATTCATTAAAATTAGAAACAATTTAAAATCAGTTCATTTTTTGTGAAATCATTTTAAATCATTTTGGAATTTCAACAGCTCCATATGGTTAATAGCTATTGTGGTAGATCATGTAGACAGAATATTTACATTATCAAACTATATGGTTCAAAAATACCTTTTATTTTTAGATTGTTAGTATTTTTAAGTATGTATATATGTGTATCTGTGTGTTAGTATGTACTCATGGAGGCAAGTATCTTCAGATACATCTAAAGTTGGAGTTAGCAGACATGGTTGCTAGGAAATGAACTTGCACACTCTAATTAAGCACTCTTAACTGATGAGCCATCACTCCAGCCTCTGAAATAGTTTTCTTTACAAAAATAAAATCTAATCTATTGAAAACATAATTTTCCTCAAATATTTAAGTGTATATATATGATTTCCTACTTTCATGTTTAAATGTCATGTGAGTGAATCACTAAGTCACTTATTTTTTTAAGCCTTAATATACTAACACATGCAAGCACAGAGTAAAATTAAAAAAAAAATCATTGTTTATATGTACAATTTGTAAGGATATAACACGCACATTAACTGTCTGTTTCAGTTATAAATGTGTAAGTTAAAAACGTTGATCTTATTTTCAATGGTAGGAGAAGAGCTAGCAGCCCTTGGTTAATTTCTCCTTTCAAAATAATTTTCTCATCAATGTAGACAAAGAAATATTCATTATGTGTATACTTATATATTTTTGCATTTCACATTATTAAAATTATATAGAGCATTATTCTCTGAAATAATTTTGATTTTCTGAAAATGGTATAATAAATGCAAAATTGTTAATAACTAATAAAGTTATAAAACATTTTATAAACATTTTTGTTTTAATTATGACAAATATCTGTATTTTGTGGCTAGTGCATTACTTATGAAATATTAAAGTGTATGTCTCTTAAACAAATATAGATCCAAGCAATATGTGAAGCATAGAGAAAATGACATTAAATGAAATAATTAATATGACTTTTTAGATTTTGATACCATAAATTACATTGATTTCAAGTACATAAAATTGCCAGTTCTAATTAAGTTCAAGAACATTTATTTTATAGACTTAAAAAATCTCCTTTAATACAAAAGACTTTATTTAGTCAGTGAGTGATATTTCCTATTTGATTAAAAAATGAGCTTTGGAGTTGCAAATACCCATCAGACGGACAGACAAAAGCATGCTAAAGTAAGTAAAATGATAAACTTTAGTGAGTCTCTAATTCTATGCAGAATCATACAGAATCAAAGAACCAAAAGTTGATGCTTTACTGAAAATTCCAAGAGACATACTTTTGCTTTTGAAAAGTAATAGATGTCTACACCAAATTGTGCCTACTGTTCTGGGAAAGAAGAAGCCCAACCACTGTGGTAAACTATATTTTTGACATGCATGTGCATAACACCACTTCATTGCTTATTGGAAGGTAATAAATAACCCAGCACTTTCAGTATCATAAATCTGGTACAGTTGCCCAGAAAATGCATACAGTGCCAGTAAATACTAAAAATAGTTCCAAAGTGATTGGATTCTAAAACTGATTAAATAAAGGCATTTACTCTGTAGATCAAGAAAAGGTGGTGGCAAGACTAAAAATTCCCTCCTCAGCTTTTGCTAGTGCAAGATATATTTTTTTTAAAGTGACTTTTAAAAGTTGTTTTGTTCTTCTTCTTACATATACTAGTACATCTTTAGGTAGAAGGAATGACTTTAGGTTACAGAACAGTTTGAAATAGATAAACTACAGTGAAATGGCAATTTCAGAAAACAGTAGGGAAATATACTTAACATTCTCAGTTAAAATGGAGGATGCTATAATGAAATTGCTTTTATTCCACTATAATTGTCTTGTTTTGCTGTATAAGTGGTCTAAAACTATTAGAGATAATAATAACTATTGCTTATGTATTCGATAGCATGTTGCCATTTATATTCAATGCACTATTTCTAGAGTTGTTCTTTCACCATTCATTTATAGCACTGTGAAGGGAAATACAGCAAATTGGATTTTAAACAAAATAGCTTGAGTTGTTAGTCACATATATGTCAATAATTCTGAAGCTACAAAGTCCTTCTTACATTTCATTTAGAGTTAAGGAAATAGAATAATGTATAAGAAATCAAATCCCTATTTTTCAAAATGAATTTGAGCTAAAATATTCATAGTAATAGTGCTAATTTGGGTAAAGTCACATAGTGCTTATAATATCCTATATAATCATTTTGTTACCTGCATTTAGCAAAGATTATTATCAACAAAATATTCACTTAATATTACTCAACCTTTTTTTACTGTTACTACAAAGAAATTCTTTACTGTACATTTATATTAAAGATTTGTAATTTCCTTCTGTAAGTGAATAGATATTTTTAAATAGTTTTGAATATTATTTTAAGTTCTGTCTTTTTATGGCCATGTACCACTGCTTACTCTATTAAACCAATAAACATATTATTGATAATATATCTTCAAATTGTAAGTTTTTTATGTATTAACAACTACACAATGCTGCTACTGGAATGATTATTGTTGCCTGATGACAAGTTTAACAAATTCATTCATTGGATTCCTCTTCATTCTTTTTCTTTTTGTCTATTCTTCACTTGATTTTGGGAATATAGATGTTTACTTACAGAAAATAAGTAAACCAAGGTATGTTGCTGCATGTCTTTATACACAGTGCTTGGGATCCTGAGGCAGGATTGTCAGTTCCAAGGTAACCTGAGCTAAATATTGAGTTCCAGGACAGCAGAAAAAGGAAAATATGGAAATGACTAAATGTGAGATACAGAAAAGAAATGAATCTAGAAGGAACCTCACAATATTTGATGAGCACGTATGCTAATTCCAAGTTCTAATTCTTGCTTGTAATATTTGGCTCTCTTACACCCTTTTCTCTCCAACTCTAAGATTTACAAAGGTTAAGCATACTCATAACTCGGAAAATTATTTTACTATGTCAATATTTGATACAAAATTATACAAGAACCTGAGATTTTACTGTTAAATTTTACTTGAAAGTATTTTCTTTTAAAGAATAGATCTCCAAGCTTGTATTTTTATGCCTAGATAGTTTAATTGAATGAAATGCCATTCCTAATTGCTGCTAATCAGTTGTTTTTAAAATATATTCCCTTGTTCAAAAGTTAGATGAGCAGAGTTTACAAGAAAAGAGAAACCATAATATGTCACATCACTAAACACTAATATTTGAATGTCCTTCAAGTATGAAATAGCTTTCCTTGTCCAAAAAGTATACTGAAACTCACTGAAGGTAATTGAATTTTTTGTCAGAATCCAAACAAGAACTCTGTATTATGAAGAGTTCTGAGCATGAGATAAATATCAGGTAATTGTTATTTTAAAAAAAATGAACACCACAGATTTTTTGTGTGCTTTCATTTTGCTACAGTTTGATATATTTAGGGATTATTGTTTTAT